CAATGTAAAAAAAAATATTTTTAACATTACCCAGTTCTATCAGTAGTAAAGTATAGTGCGCTTCTTACCCATCTTACTAAGGAATGTAACTGGGTAATGTAATGTAATGGTGGTCCATTAAAAAAAGTGTTAGTTGGGTCATTTCATGCACTCTGAAAAGTAGAGAAACAAAAAAATTGTAGAAGCCCTTCAGGACACAGTGAGACAAAATGAGGAGAAGGTGTCCTGTTCCACTGCTCTTTCACACTGCCTAGAGCTTTCCCCTTGCTTGTAAAGCCCCATCATTACAGCCCCTGAGGGCCCCACAGATGCTAAGGAGTTTCCTCTTAAAAAATACTGTAGGAGGGAGAGGAGGAGAAAGAGGTGTAAACCACCTGTTGTAGGTTACACACAACTCTGCAGCACAACTGGGAACTAAATGCAAACTACCCGAGGTCCTGGTTCTGTGCTGATAGTACGTTCTGCCTCCGTTTTTCTCTTCTATTTGCTGTTTAGTTTCTTGCAGTCCAGTTCTGCTTGAAATTAGTGGCATTTAAAAGCAGTGACTGGAAGCGTGCCTTCTGGGTTGAGGAGTCACTTCTTGATGAAGAAGGTCAAGAAGGCGGCAGTTGTCACTTCTTCAAGGACGTATGAATATCATGTGAATACCACTTGTATTTGCCAAACGAAAGCAGAAAAAACACTGGCTGACAGCAGAGGCTCTACTTCTGCTGATACTTTTGTTAACAGTATAAAAATTGCTCCTTGACATCTGTCATAAAGGCTTCAGTCAATTTGTTATCAGTTTTCTAAAGAAAAAAAGGACAATATGCAGGCTTATAGTTATGCATGAAAATAAATGGAGCGATCCTTTATTCTCAGGTTTTTCAGAACAACGTCTCTGACTTCTCATGTTGAATGAAAATAATTTGTGGGAGCAAGATATTGAAACAATCTTCTGACTTATGCAATTTATTTGTATGTGTCCTTTATGTATTTGAATATAGAAATTGTGGGAGTTGCGTGCTTTTTAAGACATGCTAATAGCGAAAAAGGAAACAATGCCAACTAAAGAGAGTGCAGTCCAGAGTAAGGAGCCCTGTGACCATATTCTGTGAAGCTCTGAGCTGCTTCTGGCTGCTGATTCATTAATTCGCATGCAAAGCACTGAAACCTAAATTTTCAAGCATCATCTATTCTAGAGTGTATAAACTTCTAGGTGCCTGAATAGATAGGCAAGTCAGACTTGTCCCAAAGATGGGTATCAGCAAGGGTTAGGATGAGGAAAAATTGATGCCTTCTGAGCTCAGATTATGTCATTCTAGTAGGGCTGTTCTCATTTGCCCTTCCCTTAAGCAGCCACATAAAAAAGCAACAGGAGCCCTGATCACTAGGACACAAGGACATGAGTCCTCTTGACCAGCCCTTACCCCTTTGGGCGAACCATGGCATACGTGCTCTGCTGGGGCTGCTGTGGAAGCAGGGCAGAGCAAAGGAAACAAATTGTGTACCTGTCCCAAGCCTTTTCTTCATTAGGTTATTTTAAGGGAGAATCTTATGCTTGCTTACGTGGGTCAAGTTTGCATCAAGGGTAGCACTGATTTGGGCTTTGAGGCCCAGCAAGTGCTGAGTACTGGTAGTTCAGCAGTAACCAAGTGGGAACAAAAGGATCAGTAGATGCAGTGAAACCAAAATGTCATAATATGTAGCAGAAACTTCCTGACATGACTAATCCAGGAGATTCGCAGGGCGAGTCTTAGTAAATATCAACTGAATGCATTTTTATGTAATTAATATTCTATCAGGTGATCCTAACCATTAACAAGAGCCTGTTTAAAGAAACAAGGAAATATTCCAGTAGGCTATGGAAGGTGTCATATAATGGAGTATAATTGGTGTGGGATTTATATTTGTTAAAGGAGAGGTTCTGCCCCCACTGGTGGCTCTGGACTGGCTGGGTACATGCTCCACAGGGAGGATGCTGCCGAGCCCTCTGACAGTACATCGTTGAACATTCCGCTCCATTTCTGCAATGCTAAAAATAGTTGTCCTCATTTTAAAACACTGGGCTATTAGATTATTCCAAGGGTCTGGCGTACTCAGGGTAACGGAAGGCACATATCCATAAATTATCAAAACAGTAAGTGGTGTTTGACCACACTGATTTTAATTCTATTAAGATTAGTTTCCTTGGTAGTAACCCTGGAGTACCAAGTCTATTCTGTAAATCAGGCTCCTGGCAGTGCCCCAGCAAATTTAAAAATAAAAGGAAAATGTTTGTTCTTTGTATTGAGGATGGAGAAGCATCTGACTGCTTCTTAGGTTTTGGGGTTTTTTTTAAACTTTGCAGAACCATATCTGCAAAATATTTGAAATATTTTACAGCAGTTGTTTCTCTTTGCCAGCCTTGAAGAGAATCTTGAGAAGTTCCAGCATGTTTGCCATTATAAAATGTGTTAATGACTAAAATGTTCTAAATAGCAAAACACATTCCAAGTGATTGATACAAGTTTCTCTCAACTCTTTTTTTTTTTTTTTTTTTTTTTAAATGGTTAGTTAATGTGATACCTAATTAATTTTTGGCACTGTATTGCTTGGTAGTACAAGTAACCAATGCACTTAAAGTTCATATACTTGTATGTTAAGATAGTCTCTCTATTTTAATGTGAAAATCTCTTATTTAGGGAGAAAAATAGCTAATTGTGGATGTCAAGGTATACAAATTAATGTAAATGCATTCTAAGAAAGTTGCAAAATACACATATATCAAGAGTCTTAATCTGTCTTGAAAACCTTTAGGTATGAACTGAATCCCTAATTTTATAGTGTGTTGCAGTGCAATTACGAACTGCAAAATCAATAAATGATAAATACATCAAAGAACCCTGAATATAAATACACTGCATGTTTCTGAAATAGTTAAAGCAACCACATTAATCATTTTAGATTTAGATGTAGGAGGTTATTTTTACATTGTTGTGTTGAAGGGATAATCATTTGTAGAACACTGATCAAACAGTGCAAGGCAAAACATTTCTGGCTTGCCTCCACAAAAAAAAACAATGAATGTGGTGTTTTCGGGTTGTTTTTTTTTTTTTTTTTGCTAGTTTACAGTCATCCAGTATAGCAGAGATGAAATATTATTATCTGGTAACTATTAGACTATGAAGAGTTTTTCTGAATTCACATTGTAAATCTGGAGAAAACGAAGGACTAAGGATTACTTGTGATGATTAATTAGAATTTTTCCCCAGCATGCTAGCATCTATTTTTATGGAGGGGAGCTGGAAGGAAGATATTGGAAAATGTGCCATGAGTGGAGTTAGAAAAATGCCATTTTAACAAGCTATTTTAAGCTGTATTTTAATTGTTGTATATCATGAGTGCTTTGTATTTATTTGCTTAATTACTTGTATCATTTTGTTGAGTAATTGTTCTTTTATTGTCTCTTTCTGTTGTTAAGAGAGATTGGAGTTTTTCCTTTGTCTCTGTTTGTTCTTTTTTTGTGTCTGCAAGGCATTTGTCTTCTGCTTGGCTTGGAATCAAATGAATGAACTTTCAAAACTTTCTTTTGTTGCTGAATTCTGGCTTGGCTAGAAAACTGAGTTGGATGGCGTGCGAGTTACTAGGGCAAACTTCTGTCAAGGAATTAAGACCCATGAATGGAATGGAGAAAGCATTTGATTTTAGATTCCTTTAATATGTCTTCTAAGCTCCCACTTGAAGTCATATGAGCACAGATGAATTCTTCTAACAGAACTTAGCTCAGTAACTTTATATTTATTGAGACCAAAGTTAATGTACTTCACGGTGGCATGTTTCATGAATCTGTAAATGGAAGGTGGTTCTTAGCTTTCAGGGCACACCTTGGTTCTCACTAGGTTTGTAATTGTTTAAAAAGCTTTGCTAAGAAGGAATGGAAAAGGAAATGGCTGCATTATTTTATATTTTAATTCTAAATGAGATGTTACTAAGTTTTTAACTATACCTCTTCCTTAGAAAGCCCAATATTAAATGCAGAATTGAATTGTCTGTAGCTTTCAATTTAGAGCTATTGATTTTTTTTTTTAATTTGCTCAACTAGTCCTTATCCAGACATTGAGAATGAAGTTTACTGTGTTATTCAGCTTGGATAGTTACCTTTTAAAAACATTCTTTATTAACACGGTGCTTGTTTGTACTTATGCTCAGTTGCTGGGCATAACTTTTAAGCATCCGGTTTCTTGAACAGAATTTACAAACCCAAATCATGAGCGGTGCAAGGAGAAAGTAATTTGGGAGGGCAGGGGGTGACTAACAGTCAAATGTACAGCTGACTTATTTTGCTCTTTTAAAAGATGGGGTAGAGGAGGCAGTAATTTAACAATATACTCAGAACATTCACTTAGGAGAAACAGATTTTTGTCTACCTGGTTGCACAGGATCAAGGTTTGCATTTCCTCCTGCTGAGTAGGTTGGGCACTCCCCTAGAGATGGGGAAAAGATGTGAAACTCCCCTTTGACTGAGCAGAGCTTAGAAACCAGCAGTCTGCTGTGTATGTACAACTCCCTGTGGGACCTAACGGTTTGAGTGTAGATCCCTGTGGGCTCAAGCACCTGATAGGTATGAGGGAGAGAGTAGAAGCTGTGGCCACCCTTGTTGGGATTTTTGGTACTTGGGTAGTATGCAAGTGTCTTCTGAACTTTTTTTTTTTCTGAATCAGGGCCTGAAATAAAACTTGAGGAAGATTTTCATGTGATCCAAACTCTCTAATCTTTTTTTGTTGCCCAGCTGTCTGAAGCAATAAACAGCTATATCTGCTGCGTAATTAGATAACCTGTAATTGTTAATTATCTAATATTTTGAAAGTGAAATGTATTTTAACCAAATATAGGTCAACAGGCATAAACAACCCTAGAAATCAATTCAGCTGTTACGTAGATAAAGGAATAAGAAGCAATTAATGTCCAGATGTTTTTTTCTCTTTAGCTCAGTCATAAGTTAGGTCTGTAAAATGATGGCTATGTACATTTTGTTTCAGGGGGAAGCTGGCTTAGTAGGTGCTCCTGGCATACCTGGTCTTACTGGTTCCAAGGTAAAAAAAAAAAAAAAAGAACAAAGTAGTCTCATTTTATGTATTTTCACCTTCAACATGCTTTTTGCCAGCTGCCCAGTAACTACATAAATTGGATTTGAATTACATATCCAGTTTCTGAGTTGTATAATGTGACAGAGGAACTTTAGTATCAGCTTGTCTTTCAAAAAAGAAAGGACATGAGGTGCAGTGGCACAAACCTGCCTATCAGTATTATTTTGAATTCAGAGCAGTCACCCAAGTCTCAGAACTGTAAAGGTCTTTCCAGCCACAAGATAGCAGGTTCAAAAATTTGAAATTTGAGAGTCTTGTAATCTCAGCAAAATGAGATGAGGGCGGCACTGCTTCTTCCACTCTTCCATTTTAATCTTGTGCTCCTTTACAGAGGTGGAATATTGTAGGAAGGCCAGACTTGCAAAAAGAGACATCTGTATTATAGACCTTGCTGGTAATATTTGTTAAAGTTGCCTGACTCTTTTCATGGTCAGATTTTGTTTTCTGTTGATTGCAGCTGTGTTTAACCATAAGTATTTGGAATGAAATCTTAATGTCACATGCATCTGTCCAGCTAATTCCTTTTAGAAAACTGTAGGGGAAATAGCTCTGCTGCTTCCACAAATTAAGGGACTACACAAAAACCCCATTATTTTGTTCATATTAAAATTTCAAGAAAGTGTTCTGCAGTGTGACCTTGATGCAAAGGGCTCATTTTTGTGTCTTTAGGGCAGATAATTCCTGTAACATAGCACAAAGGGAAGGAAGGAACTTATTTTCTGAAGATGAGGTAGCCAGCATCGGGTTCCACAACATGCTTGCCCACAATCTATCAATTTATACCTTCAAAGCCAGGGTCTCACTGACCTGTACTGCAGGCACATTTAAAACACTGAAAATCAGATCAACAATCCTGCAGTGAGTATAAAGACGAGTAATCAGTGATTGTCCATGAAAAAACTTGTGTGAAATGTTCTGCCTAGCTTAATATTGGAATTCTGCCACAGAAAGGAGAATTTCAGTCAGTCATACATGTGTTATTTTGTAACTTTCATGTTTTTATTTCTGCAACATGAGAATTCTTTGAAGTAACTTAGCAGTGGCTAATACTGTCGTATTTTTAATACTGTCAAGTGGAAATTACCTAAACTTCTTTCTCTGCGCTTTCTGTTGACTGTATTACTTATTTTCGCTAACTGGAAATAATTTTTTAAAATTCAATATGCAAAAAATCTGGACTCTTAGCCTGTATTTGTGAAAAAGAAGAAATTAGTTAATCACCCCATACTGGCAGAGTACTGACTGATTGAGCGGCGGCATTGCTGAAAAGGACCTGGAGGTGGACATGAGGCTGGGATAAGCTAGCAGTTTTCTCCTATTGGGAATAAAGTGAACCATATATTCGACTATGTTGGTAAAACTGCAGTTGGCAAACTAGGGGAAAGTATTTTCCCTGCTGTGCTTGGCGGTGCTGCATCTGGTATGCTGTCTCATGTTTGGGGGTCTTCCACCCTCACTTCTTCAAGAGATGTGGAGAAACCAGAGAGGGTCCAGCAGAGAGCTAGTACATGTTCAGGGGCCTAGAAAACAAGAGCTTTGAGGAGAGTTTCAAGGAGCTAAGTTTGTTGAGTCTATAGGTCAAAGAGCGATTGAGACTGTCCTGCAGGCCTAAGGAGCCCAGCTGGTTGATCTTCAAGGATAGCTTCCTAAAAGCCCAAGAACAGTCCATTCTGATGTGCAGCAGGTTGAGCAAGCGTGGCAGAAGGCCAGCATGGATGAACAGGGAGCTTCTGACTGAGCTCAGACACAAAAAGAAAGTAAACAGTGGAAGCAGGGGTGAGCTACCCAGTAGGAATATAGAAACATTGCCAAGAGCATGCGGCGATGGAGTTAGGAAACCAAAAACTCATCTCAGATTGAAACTAATGAGGGATTTGAAGGGCAGCATGAAGGGCTTCTGTTAAATGCATCTCTAGCAAAAAAAAGGCTGAAGAAAATGCTGACCCACTGCTTAATGGGGTGAGGGACATGGAAAAGGCCGAGTGTAGCCAATGCCTTTCTTGCCTTGGTTTTCACTAATGAAGTTTGCCCTCAGGCCTCCCAGGTACTTGAACCTCCTAGCAGAGTGAGAGAGAATGAGCAATTACCCACTGAAGGGGAAGAGAGTGTTAAGGAGCACTTAAGCTAATTGGATATTTGCAAGATACCAAACTGTATGCACCCAGGGGTGCTGAGGGAGCTGGCTGATGTCACTGTAAGACTGCCCTCTGTCATTAGCAAAAGGTCATGCTGGCTAGGGGAGGTGTCTGATTATTGGAAACAGGCAAATGTCACATTCATCTTCAGGAAAGATCCAGGGAACTGCAAGCCAGTCAGCCTCATCTCTGTCCTGAAAAAAATTATATAGCAAATCGTGGAAGGCATTTCTAAACACATGAAGGACTAGAAGGTGACTGGGAACAGCTAGTATGGATTCACCAAGGACAAATGATGCCTGACCAACCTGATTGCCTACTCTTGTCTGTGTGGATTAAGGGAGAGCAGTGGATGTTGTATACCTTGACTTCAGCCAGGCTTTTGGCACAGTCTCCAGTCATATCATTGTAGTCAAATCTGTGAGATATGGACTGGATAAATGGACGATAAGATGGTTGGTTTGTTGGGCTCAAAGGTGGAATAACTGCTATGCAGTCCAACTGCTGCCTAGTAAGTAGTGTCATCCCCCATTAGGTGATACTGGGGCCACTATTATTTAGTGTCTTATTAATAACCTGGATGATGGGATTCTCAGCAAGTTTATGGATGTTATCAAATGTGGGGAAGTAGTCAGTGCACTGGAAGGTAGGACAAGGATGATACTCAGTGGGACCTTAACATGCTGGAGAAAAGGGCTAATGCAGAACTCAAGAAGTTAAGCAGAGGCAAACATGAGGTCCTGCCTCTGAGAAGGAATAGCCTCATACAACAGTACAGGCTAGGTGCCAAATTGCTAGAAAGCAGCTGTACATAAAAGGAGTTTGGGGGTCCTGGTGGATGCCCTTGTGGTGGAGAAGGCCAACTGCATCTTGGACTGCCTTAGCAAAAGCATGACCAGCAGGTCAGGAGGAGTGAGTGATTGGTACCTTTGAGACCGCATCTGGAGTTCTGTGTCCAGTTTGGGGCTTTCCAGGATTGGAGAGAGAGCAGCTCACTGGGGCGAGCCCAGTGGAGGCCCACCAAGATGGCCAGGGGATTGGAGGCCGTTATATATGAGGGGAGGCTGAGGGAGCTGGGCTTGTTCAGCCTTAAGATGAGATGATTTGGAAAGGGGGAGGATGGAGAGTGGTGTGCAGACTCATTGTTGTCTGTAAGTACTGGGAGGTTATGGAGAAGCCAGAGACAGACTCTTATCAGAGGTGTAGAGTGAAAGGACAAGAGGCAATGGACATAAGCTACAATCAGAGAAATGTTGACTCTATCCAAGAATAATTTTTATATAATGAATTGGGAATTGAGTAAAGATAGGGTATGCAGTCTCACAAATGGGAAAGCTAAATGAAAAAAACACTTTGCTTCTAGGAATTTGTCAAAAGTGAATAGGCATTTGCTGTGTTGTATGTCCAACAGTTGGAGAAGAATGGGAGTCATAGAATCATAGAACAACCCAGGTTGGAAGGGACCTCGAAAGATCTCCTGGTCCAACCTTTCATGAGAAAGGGAAACTAGATGAGCAGAACAGAAGTTGCATACATTCAGAAATAATTTTGGTAATTAACCACTCATTTTTAGGTGAGGACATATGGAAGGTTATTTCACTAGGTCCCTTTTTGCATGCTTGTTCTTGGGCATGCTTCTAAAATTGACCCCTAAGCAGTTGATTGCATGAGCCACCCCAGCAAAAAGAAGGCAAACAAAAAGCAGCTACTGTAGGTGGTTGATGAAAACTCCAGAACTATTTGATAATCTATACACCTGCACATCTCCAAAGCTCTGAATTTAATTCCCAGATGTGTAGTACATGATGCTGTATCAGTTGAAAGATTTGACAAAATACTGCTAGAAATTTTTGCAAGTTGTAGCCTGCTGTTCTAGTTAACCTCACTTAAACCTTAGACTTCTATATAAGGAAAAGACACTCTCTGAGGGGTGAGAGAATGTTTAGATGTTGCTCATTCTAATTTTTTGAAAGTAATTTAGAAAATACCATATGCTTGACTTGGGAAACTTTCCAGTCTCTTCAGACCTTTAAAAATCATGTACAATTTACTGAGGCAGTGAGACTGAATTCTAGAGACTGGCAAAGACATGCAAACCATCTCCTCCTAGATGATGTGAGGGAGAAAGAGGGGGGGGGGCGGTTATTGGGTAGTTTTTATAGAATTTTTTCTGTATGTCTACTATATGGCTCACAAAACATACAAGTGTACGTTAATAAAGATCTAAAACAGGTGTTACTCTTGTTATAATATAGCCAAGCTGTAGACTATTTGACAAAGATATTAACATAGTAAGATTGTACATTAAGATCTTTTTCTGAGCTAAAAGTTATCTAGTTGGAGCTGGAAGAGCATTGTAACAGGTCTTTTTATTGAAAGATCATCAAATAAGGGATTCAATCTGCTGAAATAAGCTGAGCTGGAATTAATATTTCAAAACTCACTCCTGGTTTGGTTTTTTTTTTTTTCCTAATACTTGGGTAATTGGATGTAGTTTTCAAAGTGAAAGGAATGAGTTTTCTTTCAGTATCTGTATATTTTTCTCAATTGTTCTTGGGTTTTGGAGGCCTTCACAGCTGACTAGTCATATTTAAAAATGAAAATGAAGGTATTAATAAGAATAATTGTGTTAAAAATGGTTCTGCAGAAGAATAGCAGTGCTGTAATGAGCAGGTTTAGCATCAATGAATAGTTCAGAATTTTAAAGCCAAGAAGATCCCTTAGGCTGAATATAACAATGATTGACTACTATTAATCAACAAAACTGTGGAAAGCCATGTCATTTTTTTGTAGAGGTTTCACACCTTTTTGAATGAGACAATCAGTATCCAAATTATTTCTTCTGTTTTAATCCCATAATAAAAATTCAGTGCAATAAAACTATTTTAAAGCATGCAATTATTTGAAGAATGCTTGTTTGAGACTTTTATTTTATTGTTTTGTCTTCCAGGGTGAACGTGGCTTTGCGGGTAGTAAAGGTGAAGAAGGTGAAAAGGTAAATTACTCTGTACAGGTTATTTATTTTTTCGGTTTAATGATTTGATATATGTCCAACCAAGTAGAGCTTTGTCCTGAAGGTCTTCCTTAACTCTTTCTTGAATAAAATTTTTATTTTTTTGCTATGTAAATGATTCCTGAAATGCTTAAGAACAAGGAGGTTATTATGCATGTTAATTGGTGTCATCAGTGCTTCTTTTAGAACCACTTTTTTTTTTTAAGGAAATATTTAATAATGAAGTCTAACACAACCATAACCACTGGACTCCAGTAGTGTCTACTGCTACCTTATTTCTATGGTAACTAGTGAATGTTTATTTATACAGTATGAAATGCATGATGAGATGATGTATAGGTATTTATAGTACTTAATAATTGCTTTTATACATTACAAATGCACTTTTATAGAATTTTCTTGTGTTGATCACAACTACTAAATGTTTTACACACTTTTTCTCCTAAGAACATAAATTTACAGCAATAGCAAAATTTAACATTTGCTACAGTGTAACTGTTAATTTAAAAAGCCTAATTTTCATTTATATACTTCTGTGTACCTACACAGTAGTTAACATGAGTTTTGTCTCCTGCATACATCTGACTCTGAGTGAATTGACTGCCAGTGGTCAAGCTGAATGCAGGTGCATTTACCTCTTCCTCAGCCTTGAAGTTCTGTCCCCTTGCCTGATGAACTGGCATGTTGCCCTAACGACCTTCTTAGTCTCCCAACAGCCATAAAACATTTCCAAGTGTAAATTCCAGGAGAAGCCATTCCTTGTTCTTCACCAGTGGGTATCGGAAATAGAGCTTGAAGCAGCTTGCCATAATTGCGGACGCTCCACAGTGGCCAGAAATAGTTCAGAAGCTTGTGCATTAAAATGGGAACTAAATTGGCCCTGTGGAAGGCTGTCTTGGCTGACAGAATGCCAGCCTGGGTCGCTCTAGATGATGCAACCTAATATTCTTGTGTGGCTTCAGACAAGTAGGTCTTCACAGGTCACCAAATGCAAGTCTGTGTTGAGGGACAAGTGGAAGAGCCTGTTCTTAGCTTGCCTAATAGAAATTAAAGTAACAATGGTAATAGTTTATGCTTGAAACTTCAGCTCCTAACCAAGTTACTGCCTGGTTACTGCTTTTTCACTAGTTTTGGCTGATGTGGATCAGGCAACCTGAATTAAGAGTCTTTTCTTGGATCATAGGTAGTTTCTCTGTGCTTCAGCTCACTGTGTGAAAAAGGTGCAGAAGAGCATTTCTGCTGAATTTATATGTCATAAAGATGAAGAATGAAAGGCTTTGGGTTCATGAAAGGCAGGTTGGGTTCATGAAAGGCAGGTCCTACTTGACCAACCTGATCTCCTTCTATAACCTGGTGACCCATCTGGTGGAGGAAGGAAAGGCTGTGGACGTCATCTACCCGGACGTCAGGAAAGCCTTTGACCCAGTCTCCCACAGCATTCTCCTTGGGAAGCTGGCAGCTCAT